TGAGCCCTTTTATGAAGAAAGTTGGGGAATCGCCTGACGACACTTGGAGGCCAGGAGGGTCAGGGGAGACATGATAACGACATATAAAATACTGCACGGAATAGACGAGGTGGACAAAGACGGGATGTTCCAGAGATGGGACACAGACACAAGATGTGGAAAATATTTTAATTTTCCGAAACTATAGTGCCTAATAGGTGTTTAATGTGTCTATATGGGTCAAAAATGTATTTGAAAATAGAGTAGAACCAAGAGTTCCCTTTGCGCATGCGCGGATGTGCGGGGGGGATAGGTGGACGCAGGCCTTGACAGGCGGGAGTGTTTTGAATGTGGTGAGGAGGCTGGGAAAGCATGGAACCACGAAATTGGCATTCACGGCGGCCTAAGGATTAATATAGGCCTCATTTCATAATAGGAAGTGTCGTAACTGTTTCTGGTGGAGAGTGAGGGAACGTGATTTACAGGACCACCGTAATAAAGTGGTAAAATGAGTGAATAAGGGTAGGACCGGGTGACTGGCGCATCACTATGGACTGTGTCCTGGGGAAAATTACCCTTGGTTTAATCATCACTCATCGGTCTCAGATCTTAATGGAGTGATCTCTAATGTGTATAATAATTATGAGACATTAAATCGTCTTGTGAATTGTAATGTAATTAATGCTAATAACGCTAAGTTAAGATAATGCGTGAAGTGAAATAAGTCGCCTTGCTCCGAGTGAACACATTAGACCTCGTTGTTCCCGAGGCGAGGAAAGTGAAATTCATTGAGTCACGACTTCTAAAGCGAGACAACCCAACGGATACCTCGTCCTGCTGGAATGAGAACCGTGTCGGGTAGCAGGACATCGAAATGAGATGGTGAATGGAGGAAATAAGGAGTATCAATCACCCACAGTTAAGTAACCCTTCTAGTTATAACAGACTGATGCTGGCCAGTTAGGTATGTTGTGATTGGATAGGTTATGGGTGATCCAGCTACATCAAGTGACCACCAGAGAACATCTGGTAAGTGGTGGGATTATGTACAAATGTTTTTCCTTGATGGATGTATCCAGGCGTATCCTACCCCCCCCCCTTCATTCAGCTAAACTAATATAATCTATACAGTCCACAATTAATTAGTAGCACCGTACTTGTGGGTGTTATCCAATCCATACTGGTCTCGGATAGATATGGATAAGATTGTGAGGTCGAAGGAACCACTTGCCGCGACCAGGGGTGGTTAAGTTTTCTCACATGTCTACACGGGGTGACTACGGTAAACAATATGGTTGTCTCCCAATGAGATTACTGGTATGTATATAATGTTGAGGTACATACAGGTAAGCACCCTAGAAAATTTTCCATACAAGAGGTCACAATTGGAAGTTGAAGACTCAGATGAATCAAAGGGATGTTAGGAAGTATTTCTTCAGTCATAGAGTAGTCAGGCCGTGGAATAGCCTAGAAAGTTATGTGGTGGAGGCAGGAACCATACATAGTTTTAAGGCGAGGTATGATAGAGCTCATAGGGCAGGGAGAGAGAGGACCTAGTAGCAATCAGCGAAGAGGCGGGGCCAGGAGCTGTGACTCGACCCCTGCAACCACAAATAGGTGAGTACAAATAGGTGAGTACACACACGCACACACACACACACACACGGGGATTGTCCTACGAAGAAAGGTTGATGGAAATCGGCCTGACGACACTGGAGGACAGGAGGGTCAGGGGAGACATGATAACGACATATAAAATACTGCGTGGAATAGACAAGGTGGACAAAAACGGGATGTTCCAGAGATGGGACACAGACACAAGAGGTCACAATTGGAAGTTGAAGACTCAGATGAATCAAAGGGATGTTAGGAAGTATTTCTTCAGTCATAGAGTAGTCAGGAAGTGGAATAGCCTAGAAAGTGACGTAGTCGAGGCGGGAACCATACATAGTTTTAAGGCGAGGTATGATAAAGCTCATGGGGCAGGGAGAGAGAGGACCTAGTAGCAATCAGCGAAGAGGCGGGGCCAGGAGCTATGAATCGACCCCTGCAACGACAAATAGGTGAGTACAAATAGGTGAGTACACAGGAGCTCGGACTCGACCCCCGCAACCTCAACTAGGTGAGTACACACACACACACATGCACACATGTGGTAATGCTTTATTTACAGCTAACAAAGTCAGGATATTTCTCCAGAATGGTCTGCAATATACCACTGTGGATAAAGTACTTTGCCATTTCTTGAACATTTCTGAGCGAGTTGTTTCTAAATTCATTAATTTTATCACACTCCAGTACATAATGACGCAAGGTGTGACAATAGTCTATCTGGCAAAGTTTACATTTCGTTTGGTCTACATCTGGTGGTGGTGATACTGCCATAGATACTTGTAACCCAGCCGGAGCCGGGCAGTAGTGACATCCAAGAGTCTGCTTATTTTGCTGGATCTCGACACTTCACATATCTTATCATTAACAAAGAAGTGTTTTGTCATATCCTGTAGGGTTTGCATGAAGATACGTATAATGCCCCAGTCATTAACAAAGAAGTGTTTTGTCATATCCTGTAGGGTTTGCATGAAGATACGTATAATGCTCCAGTGTCTGGCACTGTCTCTGTCCACACACTTGGCCCCAGTGTCTGGCACTGTCTCTGTCCACACTAGACCCCAGTGTCTGGCACTGTCTCTGTCCACACACTAGGCCCCAGTGTCTGGCACTGTCTCTGTCCACACACTAGGCCCCAGTGTCTGGCACTGTCTCTGTCCACACACTAGGCCCCAGTGTCTGGCACTGTCTCTGTCCACACACTAGGCCCCAGTGTCGCACTTCTCTGTCCACACATAGGCCCCGTGTCTGGCATGTCTCTGTCCACACACTAGGCCCCAGTGTCTGGCACTGTCTCTGTCCACACACTTGGCCCCAGTGTCTGGCACTGTCTCTGTCCACACACTAGGCCCCATAGTGGCCCTTAACAACCTCATAACAACAACAACAACATGGAGCAAACACTAAGTGACATTAAACAAAATGCCCAGAAGTTGCACAAATCAGGACGATTTAAAGAGGCTGAAGATTTATTCTCTGAAGTCTTGAGGCTGAGGGTCCGGGGGCCTCGCCCCCAACACATACCACTGAGGTAAGCATTTGTAATAGAATAGGAGAGTGTTTGCCCGGGGAAAGCACAGGCCGTAAAATCCCCCGGGGTTTAGCGTTTCCCCCTTGATTATAATAATAAAAATCTAGAGCAAAAATTTGACCTTTTTTTTTCCCCTTCCTTGGATCGAACCTGATGCCTCCAGTTACCCCTATGCTCGAAAAGATCCTTAGGGGTTTTAGCTTTTTTCCTTTAAAGATAAAAAAACGTCTTTATTTTACAAGTACAACACAATTACACAAGCATAGCTGACACAGTGCACATTAAAAAGCCCCGGGTTATGCAGAGCTTTTTGGGGCAAATTGGGTTAAATTTTGCTCCGGAGCGCCCACCCCATTGGTTACACCCGGTCCCTGTTTCCCTGTACTAAAAGGGGGACAGTAGATATCTTAAGGAAACAACCCAAATGTTTCCCCCTTACCGGGGACAAACCCAAACCTCAGTGCAAAGCTGAGTTGCTACTAACTAAGACAAACACCTAATGTAATAAAAAAAAAACCCCAGCGGGATTTAAAGGGGGACCAGATGAAAATACCAGACTTAGGGTTATCCAAGGTTGAAGAAGCATATTTTATTCAGTTTATTAAAAGGGGGTTAAATGCAGGAAAACCCTATGTTTGGTTTTATTTCTATTTGGGTCCTTTAATCATCTTCACCGGGGGTTTTTACTCGCACAGTCACTTTCCCCGAAGGAAGATTTCTTGATGCTAATGAGGGGTTCTTGATCTAAGAATTGACCTGTTCTCCTTTTTGGACTGAACTTAAATTGCCTCCCATTCCTCGCATTGTTTGAGTTTGCCCCCTGGGGGTTTAGCAGCCCCCCACCCATAATAATAAAAACTGGTGTACCTACTTATGCGGGTGAACGGGGTTTTGACATGTATAGGAAAAATTATTTTTGGGTTTAATAAGTGAGGCCTGTATGTTTCCTTTTGAGTTTAAAACCTTAGTTTTATTATAAAATAATAATAATAATAATAATAAAAAAAATCTTAACTGCTACATGTAAACTTTTTGGGGTAAAATGTATTGAACTATGTGTCTTCTTTTTAATAAAGTGGTCTTATTACACATTGTAATAGTTGACTAGAAGGGCAGGTATTGCGAAGATTAAATAGAGATTTTAGTGTAAAATCTACAGATTATTTACCGAGAAATTTTACATCATTTGACCCATCTGCTCACCATTTATACTTTATTTTAAAAATCTCAAATTTTTTGGATAAATATATACCCAAGAGGTGTATATCTTAGTGTATATTTGCTGAGATTTTCTTTAATCCCCATTTTAGCGATTTAAAAAACAGTCTATCTTGTCTGTGGTGAACAGTTACGTGCGCCTTAATTTTTTGACTCTAAGGTAGCGACAGGCTAAACTCCAAACAATTTAAAAATTTTATGGCAAGACTAAAACTCTAAAATTGCCCACTGTTGCCCCAAGGGTTTAGACTGTTTTGTATATAATGATCTAAAAAAAACTTGCGCTTTGATTATGTTAAAAACCAAGTTTTTAACCGCCCCGTCACGTGTTTCTAGATGGCAGGTTTGTGACTTGTTTTAAAACACCATGATTATCTAGCAACTAAACTAGTTTATTTATTTAGGCAGTGCTTGCTGATAATTTTTTAAAATTTATTAAAGGGGGAAATTGGCGTGGAAAATGAGGGGAGTTTTTCTACTTTGGGGACTTGGTAACCGTGGACACTGGATTCTAAAAGTCAAAATTTTGTAACTTTTTTGTCAAATAACATTATCCCATTCCATGTTGCCCGTAATTACTAAAATGCAAAATGTTTTTTTGACTGTATTCATTAAAGTAAGAAATACCCCATACTCGAGCTTAATTCATTCCAAAGGCCATTGATGTCAATCTGTTTCGTAGCGAACGAATTTTTTTAATGGAATAAGTAAATTAGATTAATCCCTTTTTAGACCCCCCCAAAAATACTCTTCAAAAGCATTTTAACAGAATTTTTCAAGCCCAGCAGCCAAAACCCCATAAAAAAAAAACTAAACAATGAATAATACTTAAATGCAAATTTTTTTCACTTTTCCCAAACTGGGGAGTTGTGGTATGTGAAGAGGGAGGGGGGTCTTTTTTTTGTAATCTTTTACTCCCTTTTTCAACACAGCCTTTTAATGGCTCTTTATTTTTTTTGATCAAAAAATTTTTCCCTACGAAACTCAACCAACATCAGACACCTGGGGACCGCTTTCATTTTTTTGCTATGAGTTTCTTTTTTTTATTTTGCTATTTTCTAAGCAATTTTGTTTTTTTTGCTGTTTCACTAATCTTTTTTAGCCCAGGTGACTTATTTATAAAATAATTTAAAGAAACACACACACACAAAAAAAAGGGAGTACAGTATTTGTTTGGTCGATTTTCTGGGAAGTGGGCGATACCAAGGGTTTTTTTTTACCGAACAAAGTATTTTAAAACCGAATTGTTCAAGTTGGGAGTTGTTCGAGTACCGAGGTACTACTTTATAACATTACTGATGATAAATTTTGTAATTGTTCATTACTACTGTAGCTTGTTTTTCTAAGAAAATATTGGGTCAAGTCTCTGGACTTATTATGATGTGCCTCTGTAATCTTATGACAGATGCCACCAAGATGGGAATTGGGTAACTTAAACTTTTTTTAACCCTGGCTATCTCCCACTGAGATAGGGTGAACCAACAAAGAAGGAAACACTTCCACTGTCACTCAATCGAATTTCACACTAATCAAGACTTTGCTGTATAAGCTTACTGTAGGCCAGGTTTTCTATGTTGATTTGACACTGTTTCACACCAGCTTTTAATATATTATTTATTATTACCATATTGGTTTTACAGTAGTGGTGTTATTATTTAATATACATACATATATTGTGTGTTAACTTCTCATATGGTTGTATTGTACATTTAAAAAGAGTACTATAACATATGAAATTTTCATTGAAGTTTTGTATTACAGTATCTAACAGTTAATGATATTAAATTCAATTAATCTCTTTATAGGAAGGAGCAAATAGCATTGGTTCAATGACAGAGGCCAGTGCAGGTACATGCAAGTGAAACTTTGATGAGGCTGTCACAGACTATACTGAGGCCATAAAGCTGGACCCTACACTGGCAGTTGCTTACTACAATAGAGGAACAATTTATTATAGACTATGTGCTGGAATGCCTCAGGAGACTGGTGAGATGCAAAGTGAGTATTTCCTTCATAAGCACTACATTTATCCTAAACTCTTTAGTGAATTTTTAATATTTAGCACAAATAATTAGTCCTGGTATGTAGACAGGTATATATTACTTTAGTTACATTCAAGTACATTTAAACCAAATACTCTTGTACTCAAATCTTTGTTATATATCTGAAATGCATTCCACTAAAACTAATCATTAAGTAAGTCATTAATGGATAGAGAGTCACTTCTTATTTTTCATTTTATTTTTAAACATGTATTTCCTATTGCCAAAACTTTTTGTAAACATAATTAAATAAGAGGTTCCCTGTTGTCATTTACACCAGGCATTAAAACTTTTCTGCTACACCTTCCACAACAGTGTTTTTTATTTTATTTATGTCTCCAAAAACAGTTATTCTCTTACGTGGCTAAAATTCATTAAATATTCATTAGTACATCCATAAATATTCACTAGCATGTCTCTACACTTCTTTCAGTTCTAAATGTATATACACATTATCACCCATTTCTTATGTCCCATTTTTTTCCCTTTAAAATACACCTGAATTTAAACACACATCTGTCTCTTCTTTCCAAGCATTTAATATCCGTAGGGATATATATTATAATTATTATAATCATGCCTAAGCGTTAAACCCACAAGGGTCATATGGCTTACGGATATATAGATTTCATTTCCACCAATATGTACAAGAATTGTATTTGTTATTAACCCTTCGAAGGTCAAGAGCCTCGATCCTGAACTCCTACTGGGGGTTGAAAAATATTCAAAAGAAAAAAAAAAAATTTCATGTGAAATGATAGAGAATCTTTTCTCGATCATAATGATACCAAAATTATGAAATTTGATGAAAAACCCCTTGAATTTTTTTCTCTTTTTCCAACCCAATTTAAATCCGTTTGGAATTTAATATTTTTCCAAATGCCAATTTTCCAAAAGTCAAATTTAAAAATAGATTTTTTTCCCCCAAAATTAAAAATTTTTTTATTAATTAAGGAAACCTGCCCCTTCCCCTACGGGGTTTTAAAAATAAAAAAAAAAAAAAATTTCAGGAAAATTGGGAAATTTTTTTCACAAAATTTTCCAAAATTTGAAATTTTTTAAAAAACAAGGGTTTTTCCAGAATTAAACCAGACGAATTTCTGGCATTTCCCATTTTCCCTTTTCCCCAATTGAAATGTCCGGGCCCCTTTTATTTCCTTTTGCTTTCCTTTTGTTTTTTTATTTAAAAAAATGGAATTTATTTTTTAAACTACCCAAAAAATTAAAAAAATTTGGTTTTAAAATTTAAACAAAAATTTAAAGGGAATTTTTAAAAACTCCCCTTTAAAAAGAAGGGTCCTGGCAAAAAATTTTTTTCTTGCTCTGAAAAAAACATTTTTTTTTTTATTTTTTTTTTTTTTCCTTTTTGTTTTTTTTTTTTTTTTTTTTTTTTTTTTTTTGTTTTTTTTTTTTTTTTTTTTTTTTTTTTTTCCCGCATTTTGGCTAAATTTAAAGGTGCTTTTCTTTTCTGAAACCAATAAAAAATCATTCTTTTTTCTGTAATATATTTTCCAAATTCTGTCAAATGAGACCCGAAAAAAAAAAATACAACCAGTAATACCATATGAAAATGCCTGAAAAGCCCGCTGCTAAAAACCCAAAAAAAAATTGTGGGAGTTTTTTTTTTTTCGCTTTTTGCAAAAGCGGCTTCGGGGTTTTTTTTTTATGCCCAAAACAAACCAGCAGCCCCAATTCTTTCATTTTTTGGGCCTCCCAGCTTTTTTCCCCACCAGTTTGGGATTTTCCCGGGAAGGGGGATTTCCGTAGGTCAACGCCCCCGGGGCCCCGGTCGTGCCCAGGCACCCTTTCCCAGTAGTAGAAACCCATTTTACCAGTCTCAGTAAAAACCATTTTACCGCCCCCCGTCCGTTGCCCTTCAAACGCCCAAACCGCCCTTGAGTCAGGGTTCCAAAATTGTGCGAGCTGACACAATTTAAAAAAAACCCACTAGGGGGGGTTTTGGCCACCGCCAAACAATATTTTTAGGTTAGTTTTTTTTAAAGATAAGAATTTACGCTTTTCCCTTCTGTAAAAAAGACCCCTGGGGTCCCCCCTTTTAGTGGGTATCGGGTTCCACCTCGGCCCGAGGTACGACTGCCAAAAACCTTTTTTTCCCAAAGGGTTAAGAAACTAAACTTTTTTCCTTCCTTGTTGTCGACAGTTACTTTTCCCTGGTGCCTTTACTGGGATTTGCTTCCATGCGGACTTAGCATTGTGCTCCCCCCTTTACCCGATGGGCATGCACAAATTGAGCTTGATCTTTTCCAAATTTTTGGGGTTACCATTTGGGACCCGGGAAATCTGTTATACTGCTGCAGATTATGATGAAACGGGTTTAAAGCCCTTACAACAATGCATTCCCCCAGTAGGGGAAACCCAAAGGGCGGTCGGGGACTGGTAATTCTGTCACCCCTAAATTTTTTCCCCCTATACCTTCAAAATTTGCGGAGGGTTTGCCTCAAGGTCCGAGGACGCTCAGATTGCCTTGATTTCCCAAAACCCTTTCCCTGCAATGCCTGCAGTTCGAGAAAGTATTTTTTCTCCACAGGGGACCCCTTGTGGGAAAACAATTACTTGAACTAGAAAATCCCAATCTCTTGTTATGCCCAAAAGCCGTCGCAAAAAGACTTTCGGGTTGCGGCTATTTCTCCACTAGAGTGCTGTATTTGTTCCAAAGGTTCCGATGTGAAAACCGCCCTATTGACAGTGTTTCCCCTGCAAATTAAAAGGTCTATTTTTTGAACCATCCTTACATGTTGTAAGAGAAAGAAAGACCCCATTTCTACCTGGCCAACATTTCCCGGTCCATGTTCGCCTTAAGCAAATACCAATCTTTTTGGGACCTTTTTAAACTATCCTTACCCTGTTCAGGTAGGGATGGGGTTTCCCCCTGCCCAGTGGGTGGTGTTTATTTCTTCCGGGGAAACCTCATCCACTCACGGGATCAATCTGTTTCCACCAGTTGAGGAGAAAGATTTAGTCCCACTGCCCTTCCCAGATAATTTTCAAGCGTTTGTTGACTCTGCTGAACAAACGTCGAAAAGGGCCAATGCTTTCCCAAAGGTGAGAAGGGGGGTTTATAAAAAACTTTTTCCCCCCATCTTTTTTCCCTTTTAAAAAAAAAACCGGGTTTATTTAGACCTTTCTACAAAAACCTGCGTACAAAATTCCCTCATTACTTTTTGCTTCCAAAGAATTGTCAAAATCAAATGCTTGATGAGGGAAAGGGTTTAATTCCCAAAAACCCAAAAAAAATTTCCCCCTTGGGGTCCAAATTGAATTGGGAATTTAAAGGAAAACCCTTCCGTCGTTTACTTTAGGGGTTTTAAACGAAAAAATTAGATCGTTTTTTAAACCCTTTTTTACTGGGGACTTTTCAAATAGGGGGAACCCCCAAAGTCTTTTAAACCCTAATTGTTTACAAGGGTTTGGAAAAGCCCTTTTCCCCACGGGACGGGGCCAAGGAGTTGGGGGGCTTCTACCCGGGTAAAATTATAATCCGAAGGCAATTTTGGATAATTTTTTTCCGGGGGCTAAGGTCATGAACAAATTTTTTGGGGGGGAGGTCCTTGGTGCATTTTTGGTTAACTTAGGGAGAAACTATTCAAAAGGACGGGGAAAACCCAACTTGGAAAAGATTTTGATGTAGTACTTGGTAACTTGAAGAACCAAATTTTAAAAAATCAAACTGTAAAAAGTAATTTCTTCAAAATCAAAAAAAGTTTCGGGTCACTATTCCCCTCCTAGGGGGGTTACACTGACCAAAGAAAGTAATTTGCAGTAAAAAATTTTTCCCAAACCCCCAAAAACTGTAAACCCTTTAAGATCCTTTGTGGGCTTAGCGGGTTTAAAAATAGAGCTTCCCATTCCCAAAATTTTTTTCCAAAAGCTGCCCCCTCAAAACTGATTTTCTTAAGAAAGATGCCCTTTTTGTTTGGCCCTTTCCCGTCAAAAAGAGCTTTCCCAAACCAAAAAGAAAAGCAAACTTCTGCTCCAATTTTAAAATTTTTTTTTTTTTCCAGTTTTTCAAAAGCCTTTCTATTGACAATGATGCTATTTTTCAATTGGCTGGGTTTCCGGGTACTAGCAGAAGACCGATGGCAAGTACAACGCAGTTGCTTTTTGCTAGCCGATTTCCTTACAAAGGCTAACGTAATTATACAGAAACTGAGCAAAAAAGCTTTGGGTTTTTAGAAAGGGTCTTTAAAGCACTTCCGAGACTTTATTTTTTCAGTACTCTGTTAAATGTCTTGGGCAGATCATGCCCCCACTGAAACCCTTATTCCAGAAAAAACAACCTAGGGAAGGGTTAGCTAGAGGGACCTTGACTATCCAAGATTTCAATCCCCCTTTGAGCTTTTAAACCGGCAACCCAAATGAAGTCGCAAAACCCTTTTCCGACATGTTAGTATAGTAATTTGCAGACCCCCCATTTAGTGCTGAGATGAAAAGAATCCCTCAACGAACGACCCCATGTGGGCTGGGTGATTCGTTTTCCTGCTCCAGGAAGATTTTTATTCTGACGGGTGAACCCACCAGCCCCCCTTTAGTGACTTTGCCCTAAACCCAAGAATTACTTTTATCAAACAGCAGAGTGGGGTACTCCAAGCGGGAAGAGTATACCATTAGAAATTTCCCACAGCACTAGTAAAGGTGGGCCTTTTCAGCTAAAAAACGAATGTCCCAGGGGGTTGCACACCCTGGTATGGGATCTTTCCCAGTAAAAAAAACCAGATTGAAATATTTTTGGGCCCCTGTATGGCAAGGGGGGATTTTTTTCTGATAGGTTAGGAAATGTAGTGTCTGCATGAAACAAAAGGCAAGCAAATTTGGTCCAAAATCCAATCCAATTTGTTTCCAACTACTAGCAACCCTTTGGGGAAAATTTTCCCCTAGATTTGTTAACAAATTTTCCCCAATTTTCCCTCCAAGGTAACAAACATCTGTGTGTTATGG